AAAACGTAGTGATTATCTCAATTCATACGATGCACTAATCCTATTTATTTGAGGTAGAGGTATAGGTACGTAGATTTTATTTAAATCGCATAATGTGTTCGGTATAAGTGAACATTTATAACTGAGTGATTTAAAATTTAAAATTTGTAAAAATAATATYATAGTATTGGTGCGAGATGAAATAAAAATATTATGTCCAAGACAGTACAGTTAATACAGTAATACAATACAGTCTTGAATGTCTTAAGACGTTTAATGGACTTTTATTTGGGTAGCTTGTATATATATATATATCTTTGAAATTCCTGTAGATATACGTTTTAATATATAAATTGTTTCCTAGAAAAGCGGAATGGGAGGGGGGGCTGTGGACCAATCGATGTAAAGAAAACAAAAACTGCCTATATATACCTTTTCTATACCTAAGTCATATAAGTCGACGGATGAAAATGGAAAAATTTAAAATAAACTAACGGAAATTATGCGGCAAAAATACGAAACACTAGTGTGACAGCCAAAAATGTAATCAACCACGGCGGAAAAAACCTGACAACCCTYGCGGGACTGCTATATTATGTATTAGAAGATGCCGTGGGTTGTGTATTTTGTAATTTTATAAAAACTCACTTATAATAATACTATATATTATGTTCCACTGCAGTAGAGACTCGGACGTGCACGATCGACTGCCGTTGTATTCAGATGGTGAGTTTTAAAGTTTTTGTTGTCGTACGCGATTTGTCGTCGTCCACAAACGACTTGTGCGTTACAATATTTACAACGCTAACAACGACTCGCACATGGAAAACAATTTGACGAAAACGAATTCGGACCAGACGGACCAGCGACGGACGTGCGGACGGACACAGACACTGACGAATATCAACGCCGACGTCGACAAACACATCGGCGGACCGCGATGATGATAATAAAAATAATAATAATATCCGTGCGGCGGCGTTGCGCGTCGTAGGTGTTTACAACTTCAGTGCGGTTCGATTTGAACCTGCCCAGCAGCGACAGCAACCCAAACGACGGTTTAATATTTATATCATGTTTACTTATTCCGCCACCACGCCATCACTACTTACAACGTTTCGTATCGTATTAAATTATTATTGTGATATATACATATTATACGTACAGTATTTTTAATTGTTTATATATATATAATATATATAATTATGAATCATATACACATATTATATWGATTACATTTTTAATTTTTAATTATTTGCTGGAAACGTCTGTATAAATAATAATAACATATAATATATTATTATCTACACACTGCAATACATATTATACCTACATTATTAAGTATTATAATACTTATATAGTTAAAAAATTATTCGATATTGTATTGTGACGCATAATATGTACCTATGTACGGTTAGCGTGTTGGAGATATAATGTACATCTCGATAGGCCCGACACTGATGATACCATAGACATAATGAGTGTCATAATACATACAATTAATATATATGATTATGATTGCAGGGTACAGTAGCAGATAGAGTTCTACACATTATAAAAATTAAATCGAAGCACATCCAATAGATTCTATGTCGTATAATTTTCGTGTAAGTACCTAAAGTGCAATTATTATACTAAGAAACAAATAATTATTTTTTAATCCATTAGGTCATAGGCAAACGCGTAGTCATGATTTTTTAGAAGAGTGTTTTTATTTTATATATAAATAAAACATGTGGGAGAGGAGCTTTACACACTCTTAATTGCAATCATTAACCATAAATTTTCATAATAAAGACATTAAATATGAAATAGAACCATACGACAACATATTTTTTATAAATCTGAATGATATTATACTTGGCACTTATAAAA